CCCCCCCCCCCCCCCCCCCCCACTCCCCAACCCCCCAAAAATTGGGGGGGGGGGGAGGAGAGACAGGCGACTGAATGAACTTCATCAGCAGCAGCTTCCTTCTCTTGTCTGTTTTATCTCTTGGTCCTTCTAAAAGAAATATTTGTTAAATGGCTACATTTAAATCTGTTAAAGCCTTCCTTCCTTCCCCCCCTTCCTTTCCCTCTCAGAAGTCTACCTGCTGATTTCTGGGGCATCTGAACTAGCTAAATAAAATTACTTTTACTTGTCACATTTTTCTTAGAGACACCTCCCCCTCCTCACCCAGAGTTCAAGTCAAAGCTCCCTCTTTACAGAAAATTGCAAAGAGCAAGCTGATCTTTGGATGACCTCGGTAATTCCTAGAAATACTAATTCAGCCCTAAAATATTACATTGGGGTGAAATTATTTTTTAAACTAAATAGTGTGCATCCTAATCCTGGTTGTACATGTGCTGTTGTACCCTGGGGAGTGATGTTGTACCCAGGGGCTTACACCCAAGGATGTGTACATAAGGTTGCAGCTATAGTTGTGAACTAAAAACTATTGAAGTGGCCCTTTCTTCTGAACAAGCCTGTGTAGGATGGAGTTGTTGGTCTGACATTAAGGCATGACCAGTCTGACTCTGAAACTTGTATTATCTTTTTCCTTGCCCAACAAATGCTCAAAAACTCTGCTTGAGAACTCTGGGGCAGTTCTGAACTAGAGTTGCAGGGGAAAGTAGATTTGAACCCTAGAGTCATACGCATGGATTGCATCAGGAAGTGTATGGGTCCAGGAAAACACCCACTGCGTTAGGCTGTATGCTAATATCAGAGAATTCCCATTTGTTTCTTAAAATAATCTAACAAGAATGGCTACAAAGCCCGTATTTACCTCATTTAAGTAAGTTCCATCTAGTTTAGGAAGCAACGTATATACAGAATTGTGGGCCTTGATAATAGCAGTAAAGAATGAAATTGAAGAAAAAGACTGTTAAAGCAATCCAGGCACACAGTTAGAATAGGGCAGAGTCCAGAAAGCAACTTTTCAAATTGTTTTAATCCTGAGTACATTCCTTGAAAGCAAGTCAGTTTTAATTTAGTGTCATGCAGTGCACTGGGGAATCAGTTTGGTAGAGTGACATTAGAGTGGTATGTTGTGATGGTTGAACAAGAATAAAAAATGCAGTTTATCAGCAGACTAAAAAAATCCTAAAAACCCAGCAAGAGTTAGTCAGAAATCAGTTTTATCTTATATAGCGTTATTCAGAAGTAAATCCTGCTAAATTGAATGGGCTTTACTCCCAAGGAAGCATGTACAGCATTGCAGCTGGGTTCAAATCAGTTGAGTTTATGCTAGTCCAAAATTATTCCTTTGCTTTTAATGGTATTTAGCTGCTATTAAATCTGACTTGATTTTGGTTCAGTTCTAAGCAATACTGAAAATACTGTTGGGAAATTATGGTGCTATCCAAAATAATGAATGCTTCAGAGAGATTCATGCAGTGCTTTCCTGATGATCTCATTGTACAAATTGGTTTGTATGAGTAAATTTCAGCTAATCGGATTCCAGTGAGTTTAAGATTTTTGAAAACATATTGAATTGGCTCTAGAAACTAACTGACAGACATTGCATTCAATAAAGCAGGAGCATAATATGATCATTGACATGAGCCTACCCACAGGCTTGTTGCTGTGCTCTTTATCATTTGGAGTTTCTGCCTATATAGGATGTTATAGCAATCTAATCTGGAGATTGCTGCATTATAAATAACTGTAGCAAGATCATTGTTCTCTAGAAAAGACATAATTGTTGAATCCTTTGAAGGTACTTATCCAGAAATAATACAGGAGGAAAGACAACCACTTACAGGATCTCAAAGGCTGATGGCTGGTGGCTTTGGAGACCAAGAAAACCCCACAGTACACGTATTGAGAGTTGCCTTCCAGAAACAGTTGGAACCATCAGAAAGGTTGCCTTCAAGTTATTTAGAAGAAAACCATGGCTGACAGTATCAAACCAGCAGAGAAGTACTCTCCACTGTTTAACTCCCAGTGTAAATAACCCCACCAGAATGATCAAAGCTATGTCTAGCCCTAAACCAGGCTAAAAATCTGATTTTAAAGGATCCAGATCACAGGTGGGTAACACCTGGGCTGTTAACCACACTTTTGTAGCCACTGATTAATTGCTGGCCCACATTCTCTGGATGATATACTGTCTGAGAAATTGGGTGATAAATAAGGAAAGTCTTAGTTTGGATTTTACATCTTCTGTCATATCCCTAGTTGGCCTTAGGCAAGCCACATGGCAGCAACAGGAAGGAGACAGATGCTACTACTGGATTTATTACATACAGCAGTAAAAGGTTAGCTGGCACTTGTGACAAAATATAGGGTAGGGGGGATATTACTTTCTATATCCAAGGAATTGGCATATTTGGGCATACCACATGTGCCTCTAATGCTGTGCTCCCCAGTGAGCCCAAAGGCTTGTAATAAATGTTCAAACATCATGGATTGGTTGGACTCAAAGCAGATGCTGGCTAATATCAGTTGACAAGTCTTTGCTGTGCTGCACTAGTCCTTCAAATATAGGCAAATCTTAAAAAAGATGAGCTTCTCTCACTGTATTGTCCCATCTGTCACTTACTTGGCTTCCAAAATACCCTCACTAGTTCTAATAATGAGAGACATAATACATTCAACCAGGTTCTGTACTGCAGGGCACATCTCATGGAGAATCGTGCATCCATTTCTTCAAAAGGGATGGAAGCCGCTGGAAGATGATTAGACAGAATATACTGAAATGACAGATGTGACGTGATGCTATCTGAGAGAATTTTGAACCTCTGGATCATGAGGAAGTAGACAGAGTTCTCTGCAATTTTAACTCTATCACTTGTGATTTGGACCCCTGCCCACCTGGGTAATTAAAGTGATGAAGGAGGAGACCAGTAGTTTAATCTGTGCCTCTTTGAAGGAGGGGGAAATGCCAGAAGTTCTTAAAGAGGGATTGACTTGCCCAGACTTGGATCCAACAAAATTGGGTAGCTTCCTTTTGGGGGAAGGTTATTGAGAAAGTAATGGGGCTGCAGCTGCAGAAAGCTATGAAGGATATAGATTATCTGAACTTTTGGCAATCTAAGTTCAAATCTGGGCATGAAACAGAAACCAAATTCGTCATTGTCATAGATGATGGTGCTTGAATAGAGATGGTGTGACCATTCTTGTCTTTCTAGAACTTTCAGCAGCTTTCAATACTGTTGACCATGATATCTTTCTGGGCCTTGTGAGAAGGTTGGGAGTTGGAGGCACAGCATTTTGCAGGTTCCTACCTGAGCAGACAGATCCAGAGGGTGGTGTGATAGTAGGGGAGAAGTCAAACCCAAGGGCACTTTATATGAAGTGCCTCAGTATTCAGTCCTTTCCCCTATCCTATTCAACATCTACATGAAACTGCTGAAAGGTCATCCACCAGTTCAGGATGAAATGTCATCAATGTGCAGATACTCAGTTATATATCTCCACCCTCTCTGAGTCTACTGGGACATGTGGTAGAAGTCATGATCCAGGGTCTGGAGGATGCCAGAGTTTGGATGGGGAAAAACAGGCTTAGACTCAACCCAAAGAAGACAGAGTGGCTGTTGATTCAGTTGCCAGTTGATTCCAGGATTGCATCATTTCTGGTTCTTGATGGGGTTGTACTCTTCCAGAAAGAGGGGACTTGGATTCTTGGGGTCCTCCTGGACTCATGGCTCCTGTTAAAGAGCAGATGAAGTCTATGGTCAGAAGGGCGTTTGCAGAACTTTGACTGGT